CTACTTACTTTTTACCTATTTACAACTCAGGTCTTAATTGACTATTTATGAAATATGTGAGGTATTCAAATTTGTCAATCAAGCTAATCGTTTTGATTCTAATATAGCAAACTTTCTAAATTTTGATACAAATAAGAATAAAAAAGAATATGTACCACATAAACAATGTCACTTGAGAAACTCAGGACATTCTTCTTTTGGTATGACTGCAACAGAGGGGAATATTGGTATCCAAACAATAAAATATGTATTCTCTTCTCAAAATATATTATATAAAAACGACATGTTGAAGTGTCGTTTCTTGAAGTGCTGCATTAAGGTTGTCGTATGGGTTAGTGTCATACATTTTATGATTAGAACTATATTAGGGAGACCGGAAGATAATGTATTTTTTTACAGTAGTGATCGGAATAAATGGAAATCCGATGATGCAATGTCGTGCGAGTATGGTGGGTGAGGCAGAATATCGCCTGTTTTGCTACAAACTTTTCAATTAAAGATTGATTTACTCGATCCAATTGTTCACTGTAAAGGTCTGCATTCACAGTTTGTCCAGGTTTGAGCACTTAAAATGAACGATTCCACGAATACTCCACCAAACGAAAGCACAATTTTTTGGAATGTATTCCAACCGCCTTTTGCGGGACCCAAACACCTTCTCTGCATACTTTACCAATCTGTTGCAAATGTTCTTGGATGATCGACGAAGGTTGGTTAATGTTCTTGGATGGTCGACGAAGGTTGGTTAAGAGTGTTAGACAGTTCCTCGATTGGCTTACACGGATTTAATTCCACTTACTCTCTTAACACGTCATTGTCTAAAGTTATTGGATTTCCTTATCGATACGAGTAGAATAGATCAACAAGTCAGATATGTACTCTTCTGGTATTTAGCTTTCCATTTCATCCAAAATTGCAAAAAAGATTTAATTATTTACAAGTAAACAAGTCACTTTAATATTAAAATTTGTTTGGTACGGCTTTCAAGTACACAGTGATCTGATTAATAATAAACAAATATTACATGCGCAAAAAGGACATTACTTTCCGGTTCCCCTAATATTATCTATTCACGCTACAAGGACCTAAATTTTCTATGAAGAACTCAATTGAAATTCTCTGAATAATCTATATTCACAGTTTCTTTTTCTATATTCTTCTTCACTTTTATAGTCTAATTTTTCGTTTAAAACTATCTTGATTAAGTCATTATTTTTCACGTTGAATACCATAGTCATAATCTCATAAGACTTATAAATAAGTATTGTTTTTACTGCTAGGTCTGACTTTAATTGTAGAAACGTAATAAATTGTTTATACTAATATTACAAAATTAAATCATTGCTTCTTTCTTCAACTTAGATATAGAGTACAGTAACACCCGATAGTAATTACGCGATAGGTGAGTCCGAGTGAAATCGCATAAGTCGGGGTAGAACTTTGCATTTGCACCAAGAAATAACAAAAATAATGCCCTACTAGACATGTTCAAAAGGTGGTACATTGCGTGCACTACCTCTCAAAGAGTTAAGTATTTCGTTATTATTGTATTATTTACAATATCAATTTTTTAAAGGTTGTGGTTACTTTTTTTCAACGTCGTTATTTGATTGTAATATTATCTCATTAACTATTTATTCAATTGTACAAATATACGTAGAATTGATTTTCTAATGTAAATTTAATTTAAGAAAACAGACAATTTCGTCGGTGTGGTATATTCAATTTACCAAATTACATAATAACTGTGTTGAATAAAGAGTGACGATTTATTTGTTTGGATGCAGCAGCAGCGAGGATTTGGTAATTAAGACACGGGAATTCGCCAAAACAAATATCCGGGATTAGTATGCATTACGCGGCTGCCTGCGCCGCCAATCGATTTCCGACATCGTTGTGAGAGGCGGGTGACGGGAGGAGGCGGTGGCTCGGAAAGTTTTCCAAAAGCGGAGCAAAATATTTCAGCACAGAGGTCTTAATATATATTCTACGGTTGCACACTAATGACACAATGAAGAAAGTTCCAATTTGCGATACACGTTGATTTGCTCGATTTGGATTTGGTCGGATGAGTCACACTAATTACAGCCGTCGCTGAAATTAACACCGACCGAACACAATTGACTACCATTAACGCAAGCATACACAATAAAATTTGCAGCCAACTAACTTGCAATTAACCAATGTGTAATTTTAATCGGACCGCAATGCCATTTATACGATTTCTATTAAACACAGTGTTAACTGATTTCACAAATTCATCTACTTTGGATTTTATGCGATAAATTAAGTTAAAATGTCTATCAGTGCTAACGAGTTGTTAATATACTGCGATAACAAGTTTACAGTAATTATCAAACTTCACTAATAGCAAGCAAATGTAACTCACAGTTTAGGGATAATTGAATCTCTATATGATTTTTTTCTCTTTACTTCGACGACGAAATTCACAAAGTTAGAATTTTCAGATTTAGATCGCCGTTTTGTTCGATAACTTTTGTCCATTTTGAAGGCAATTTCATAATTTTGCGATTGAAGAAATCCTTGTCTCTATTGGTAAAAAAACTTGACCAGCTCATTTTCACAAGCCTGTCTTGAGGCCTGTTTTTTACCATCAAGAAAATTTTGCAAAAGCTTGAAAAGATGATAATCACTTGGTGCCAGGTCTGGGCTATACGGCAGGTGCGATATAACCTCCCATCCAAGCTCTCGGAGCTTGTGGCGCGTCTTTAAAGATATGCCTGGCAATTTCTTGATGGAACACAGCACCCTTCCTGTTGGCCAATTCAGGATGCTTCTAGTTGAGCGTCTGCTTCAATCTGGTCAGTTGTTGACAGTATAGGTCCGAATTGAGCGATTGGCCCTATGGGAGCCGCTCATAGTGGAGCAAAACCTTCTTGGTCGTTAATCCGGGCTTAGCGATTGTTTTGGCCGGCTTACCGCGGCTGGACCACGATCTTTTTTGCCTGTTGCTCTCGTATGTGACCCATTTTTCATCGCCAGTCCGCTTCAATAATGGGTCGATTTCATTACGTTTCAGAAAAGAAACGCAGGCATCAATTTGCTCCAAAACGTTTGTTTGCGTCAATTCGTGTGGCACCCATACATCGAGCTTTTTCTTAGGACCAGCAAATGGTTCCAAACGCTTTTCTGGCTAATCTTCAGTTCCTGGACAATGGAATAAGTGCTCGCATGCTGGTCCGACAGGACGATTTCCATGATTTTATCAACATTTTCGACGATTGGACTACCAGAGCATGTCTAATCTTCGACGTCCATATTACCAGAACGGAAGCGTTGGAATCAACATTTTGCTGTTGCATTCGATACTGTATTGGGTCCATAAACAACACACTGTTATTTGGCCGCCTGCTCCGATTTTCTCCTAGGTTGTAGTGGTACTGAAGTGGTACTATCGAATTTTCTCTTTTTTACCTCCATTTTGGAACGCTCTAACACACAACTGGATTCACTAAACAAAAAATGTCATAGAACTTTTTTTAAAGGGTTATGTCGCCTTTAAGTATAGAATGACAAGATGCAACGTATACATCGTGAGATATACACTAACGAAAAACGCTCAGAACTTTTTACTTCACCCATTATATTATTGAAAATAAAATAATTAAATGTACTAAATCAATAGTTTGTTTAACATTATTTCCAATTGAAAAAAAAACATTTATATTAACTTATTGTTGTGAATTAAATAAAATTCTTATATATAATATAACATAACAGGTGTACCAATTTTGATTTTCAATTGTTGTTTGTAAACTCTATGTAATCTCTTGCACAGTTGTATTATGATTCGATTCAATTAATTTGGTCATCATAAACTTCAGTAGGTCGACCAGAATTTTGGTTATCTTTGAGTTAAAAATCTCCAAAATTGATTTTTTAAACCAATTTTGACATGTAACAGATCACGTTAAACAATCAATATCATAAACTTTCCACATCGCTTTATGAGCTTCAAAAGCTTTATTTTATTTTCAACTTTTATACTATGATAATTAATTATATTTTCATTCGTTCGCCTTCAAAATATTTTATATTTTTGGCAAATCATACCGTCTTTTTTTTACAAATAAAATACTCTGATATATAATACATATTTTCATATTTTACGTGTTCTTTCTAATTATTTATTATTTTGTCCATATGAATACATTATTTCAATTAATTAATGCTTGAAACACAACAATACAAATTGATGCGAGAGATTTAATGAATAGTAATTGGCTGATACATTAATACAACATAATTTAATTAGCTGTCCAAAATATATAATATTAAAAATGAATAAATATATAAATAGGTCAAACATTACAACAAAAAAACAGAAATACATATATAATCATAATTTTAATTAATAAAATATAAGTAATGATTATTTTTAGCTTTTAAGTAGTTTTTTACATATTCAAAATATTTTATTTAAATATATATTACTTTATACGTAATTTATAATAAAATTGAGTTAGCTGTTGGTGCATTTGTATATGAACTTCTCTTTGTAATCTTTCAATAAACTTGATATTATAACTTCTACGGTTTCAATAAAGTTTGCTATGAAAGTTTCTTTGTAATATAGACTGATGCGCCGCAAATCTTCTCAAGCATTTCAACAGAAATGATTGAATGATCTACTTCTTATTAAGATATATTAAGTGGAAATATATTTTAGTCTAATAACCATTGTTTTTTATAGTGTCGTCATAAAATGTTACTACAATAGTGTTGTTAAAATAGTTAAAATTAAAAAACTACTTTTTAGAACATCTGGTGCAATATTAAAAATGATTAAATGAAAATCAAATAGAAATTGGAATAAGCCAATCCATGATTAGTTCCTACAATATCTTAAGAGATTTGCAAAAATGTATCACAAAATATTGTGAATTCAATCATATTACAGCAATATCGGAAGATTGGCTTAGCGTAATCAAACGGATACGATTGGTATTAATGTTGTTTGTGAATGTTTCTGATTTCAGGATGTCGCAGCCGAACTACAAATTGATTTATTTCAATGCGAGAGGCCGAGCCGAGCATATTAGATTTATATTTGCTTATGCGGGAATCGAGTACCAGGACGAGAGGATCCCGAGGGAGAAGTGGCCCGAATTGAAAAAAAGTACGTTGAGAGTTCAATTAAAATACGTACGCTGATAATAAAATATTGAAACATCAGTAACGAAATTTCGTATGCAAATCCAAGAACCTACTTGCCTACAAACCTGAATCCCGTGCCACGTGACCCGCTTAAATTGTAACACGGTTAAACTTCGGAAAAGCGCTTAAATCAATCCATCACGCACCGTAAAATCCATCCCACATCACCCCCCTTTGAAATCCAATTAAACCTGAAACTAAACAAAGAAAAGATTTAATTAAACCAATTCATTTCCGGTCGCGCGTTCTAAATTAAATGCAATAATTGCAAGTCCCGCATTACGGGGGATGAAAGAAACCAGGATTACCTGTCCAGGCTAAAATGAAAACATTTGATTCCCGTAAAACAAAGGACCGTTGATGAATCGAAATAATATATCTCGTACCGTGATCTGTTTTGTACGGAGCCGTTAAAATGCACCAGCAAGATAAATAACATAAATTAAACATCGTTCGTTTGATTTAATTAAAATGGAAAAGCGGAATCTAACCAAATATATATATATATATCTTTCGTTACAATGGCAATTTGTATTTGGAAGCTGTTTGGAGTAGGCAATAAATAAAATGGGGATCTTCCGTAAAACCTGAAACACTGGCGAAATCCCCCTAAAAATACTGTAACATATGTGCCTTTCCTTTATTCCTTTTTTTATCATTATCATTTTGCTCCATTCGGTATGAAATGGATGCAAATATTCCAAGGATTGGAATTTTTTAATATTGATATTGAATATTTCAGGAATGCCGTTTGGAATCGTCCCGGTTTTGGAAATCGATGGTAGACGAGTTGACCAGAGCAACGCTATTGCCAGATATTTGGCCAACAAATATGGACTGGCTGGAAAGGACGAATGGGAGGCTATGCAATGCGATGCTCTTGTCGACGCACTCGGTGATCTAAAGCAAGGTAAATATTCTCACAAATTAAATAACTGCAGTTTAATTCATTCAAATTTTGTAGTTTTGTGGCAATTGAGAACGGAGCAGGATCCCATCAAGAAGGAAGAGCGCAAGGCCAAGTTGATGAGGGAGACAATTCCATACTACCTATCGAAGTTCGAGAAAATTGTTTCCGAGAATAACGGCCTTTCCGTTGGCTCAGGTGTACGTTGGTGAAGAAGAGAAGTTTGGTATTGTTAAACATGAAATCATTGTTTCAGATCACTTGGTGCGACTTTGTTTTCGCTGTTTCCTTGGAGAACTTCGAGGCAATTTTCGGAAAGTCCTCGTTGGACTATTATCCTGCAATGAAGTCGCTGAAGAACAGAATCTACGCTCTGCCCAGCATAGCCGAGTGGGTGGCCAGACGTCCGCATACCGAATCCTAAACTGAGCCGGAAGACCACTCACCAAACATAGAGTTTTTTTTCAGTTAAATCATAGTTTCGATATGTTGATTTAATGTCAGAAAGAAAAAAAAGTAAGTGTTAACAAGTATACAAGAAATGAGCGAGACGATTCGGCCTTAATTAAAATGATCATAATAAATAGTAGCTTGGAAAACTTTTGCTTTTTGGAAAATGATGGGCTTTGGGATAACAAATTCGTCTATTTTTTTATATTTAATTTACATATATAGTGAACAACGTATACTACTTGCATATTATAGAAATCGTATATTTATGTATACATAAGAATATGAATTTGCATATCTGTTCTACTAAAATTTAGAGGAATGGAAGCCTATTTTCACTTACTGTTCCCCCATGTATCCGAAAATCTGAAATTATTTTTTTAGTGAAAATCAAATCAAAATCATACCACTGAAAAGGCATATGGAGGAAGCGAAGCATTTTTCTAAACAGGGTCCGCATAATTTCATTGTTTGCATGGCTAAATGTTAATACTATATAAGTGTGTTGATTAGTACAAAAAAAAAACGACAAATATAGTAAATCATTGTTAAATGTTAGAGGGAGTATGGACAGATCATGAAATGTCTATTAGATGAATATTATAAGATATAGATGTGCCTGATTAGTACTTGTTAAATGTTCTTTGTTTATTTTCAGATGATATTATAAGTGTGAATATATGTTATGTTACGTTTTATTCTGTTTATATTGCATATTATACATGTATAACTGTTACTTGGTTTCTGTATAAAACGCACAATGTTTTATTCATTTATATAGTATTTTTATGTTTTCTTGGATCCTAAATAAAAGTGAAAATGTAGATGATATTATATTTGATTTTTTTATCCTCAGCAATTCCTAATAATCCTAAAATTAAATGTATTTTAAGTAAAATGCAATAGAAATTTTGATAGGTCTATATCGATTTATCGGCATTTTAATAAAATCATTAAACAAATAATTATTAGAACTCAGACGTATTCTGAGAAGCACTATTCGCTTCATACATAAACTTTAACACATCTTCTTTATAATAGTTAAACTTGTTTGGAAGGTTGATCATATCATTTTATAGGACACCTGTTAAAACAATTTTAAAAAAAGCTATATTTTTTTTGAATACTGAACAAAACCAGTTGTATATTAAATCGTTTATAAAAATCCATCATAATTATTGTTGTTAGCTACAATTTTGGATGTCCAATATTTAGTATTTCCTGTTCTATAATTGATGAAAAAGTGAGATTACCTGAGTATTCATAGCTCAGGCTTTTTCATATTTTTATTTTTGTTGCTCCTTATTTTTATTAAGCAAAGTTTGGGCTCAACAAATCTACTCCTCAACATCTTGTCAACAGATAATATTGAATCAAATTATATATAATTAAAATAAAACTAACAACGTAATATTATTCTTTAAGGATAGTATTTCATATTTTAAAAGTATTATCTTAGTAGGTTTAGTTTCCGTCTCATGTATGAAGTAGGCTTTACATAATGAAACGTCAAAGTAAGATGGAACAAGACCGCTCACGTCAGACCTTAAGGTTCGTTGGTTTTCTTTCAGATCTAGTAATAAAGCCTTGAGGATTCTAATAAAATTTAAAATTCACACATAAATATGCATGCCAATATCTATCATAATAATAGATAGTTACATTGTAGATTTTTTTCTTAATTAATGGTTTGTCGGCAAAATGTTAACTGAAGGTAATTTGATAATTGAAAAAAGTATAAACAATTTATCTGAGTAAATAATCGTCCAATAGAGTAATAGTGAAAGAAATTATAATTAGAAAAAACTTTAGAAAATATCAACGTAATAAGAATCAAGGACAAATATCAGAACAGAATAAAGAATACTTTCTCAGGAAATGGCGTATTATTACCAACAATGAAGAAACATTTACTTTAGAATATAATGTAGATAGTTATATTAAAAACGTATACATTAAATTACAACAAGAATGAAAAACTACACTTTAAAAAATGTTGACGATTTTAAATAACTTAAGTTTAATTGGTGTTTGTGGGAAATTGGCTAAAAATAAAACTCGAAAGTATGTACTTATTTCATTTTATTTAACATATTTAGGAACAACATGTTTTGTCTTTTGAATGAAAATACACTTTTTTCTTTAGTCATAATAATAAACTTAAAATAAATAATAGTATTATTTACATATTTTCGCTAATTACAAAATAATTTATAAATTAATCAAGAGATAATAATAATAATTATTATTAAAAATACCACAGACTATTTGAGATGGCATCCATCTCTGAGTAAACTAAGCAACAGTAGAAGCAAACCGTCTCTCCTCCTCAAATAGAATTCAATCTCTGGCTCAAATCAAATTCAGATTTTTTCTTTGGTTTATGTAATTACCAAAATAATAAATACCGCTATTCACTTTCGCAGGGAATATAATTCTGGTTGAATAAGGAGGAGAGGCGATCATTTAAATCACAAAAAGGGTTTATATGGCGTTTTCCGCCATGGATTTCCTTGATCTGATGGAATCTCTGTGGATCAAAGATGATCTAATTTCACCGCGGAAGGAAGCCCTTGTAGGTGTGTGCAAATGAAGATGGGCCCTCTTGAAGGGATCCACCTTTGGTTCTGGCATAGGTTTTCTGAAATTAGTTGTACAGTTAGTAAATGAGATTGATGATGATTTATATTGTAATACTAACCTTGCCATGCAGGGGAATTCGAAGAATTTCTGATCTTTTCCGAATTCTTCTCCATCTTGCAAAGTCTGTGGTAATTCATGATCTAAAGTTTCTGGAAGGAAAAGCGCTAACATTCCTCCGAGGATTCCAATAATTCCGAGGATAAGTAAAGGCAATGATGTCGAAATATTAGCCTGAAAATATTATTAAAGTAAGAATTGCGTACTATAAAATATGTGTGTTCATATTTTATTACCAAATAAACGATAAATGGAGCGACGATACTAGCGACGTAACCCATGATGTGGATGAGGGCTACACCTTGAGCTCTCACGACTGTAGGTAGCAATTCTGCAGCGTACTGCAAGCCGATGTTGTACGAGATGTTGACAGCAAATCTTCCGATGATCGCAAAAGTGGCCGAAGCGATTCCTGAAAGAAACAGTTACATAAGTTATATGATAGGTAGGTTAGGATAAGTAGGCGTCTCAAAATTTTGACATCGATCAACATTAAATTTGAGTTCTTCTAAATTAATTCTGTTAATAGAATCGTTTCGGAGATGATTTCGAAGCACAGGGCTGGTTGCCAGAAAGGCCATCACAGACGGCACAAGGAGAAACCGTTTGCTTTCTTCTACAACAGGTTTCCCAGATATGAAGAGATGCAGTGTTATATGAGAATGCTGAGTCGTCAATTCAAGAATTTTGCCAGGGTGGAAACTATTGGCAAGAGCTATCAAGGTAGAGATATCGATATGATAGTTATTTCGAAATTTCGAAGTCGGAAAGAAAGACACGCCGCCTTTATTGATGCCAATATTCACGCTAGAGAATGGCTTTCAAACTCGACCGTTCTTTACTTCATCGATTACATAATTCGGCATCGCCAGATCTTGAATCTCATGGACTTCTACATTGTGCCTTGTTTGAACCCGGATGGCTACGAATACACGCACACCCAAGTAAGTTTAATAGCGATTTTTGTTACTTGATTATTATTACTATATTTGTTGTAGAATCGTTTGTGGAGAAAAAATATGAATCCGAATCACAGCTGGTGCGAGGAGATGCAAGGTGTCGATCTGAACAGGAATTTTCCATATGGTTATGGCCGTAAGTTTATTACGTCGTCGGTACTTTATAATCCCAGCTTGGATTTGTAGACGACCTTGAGCAATCTGAGCTTTGTGACTGTCCGGATAATGTTTCAGTCCAGGGCAGCAGCAGTGATAAAGCCAGCTTCATGTACAGAGGCGAATGCCCACTGAGCGAACCCGAAGCCCAAGCTTTAGCAGCGACTTTAGAGAAGTACAAAAGCCACATTAAACTATACATTTCGGTTCACTGCTACGGCAATGTTATCCTCTTTCCATGGGGCTTCACCAAAGAACCGCCGCCAGATCGGTGTGACTTAGTGAGAATGAGCAATGTTTTCTTTATATGCAACAATAAAAAAAACTATTTTAAATTACAGGAAGACTGCGGCTATGCGTGCAAACATGCGATGATGAGAGCGTGCAAAGATCGTAACTTTAAAGTCGGAAGTACTGCGAGCAAAATGTGTAAGTTATTCCCGTATATAAACATCATGTGTTATAATTATTCCGTTTTCTTAAGACTTGTCTTCGGGTGGTAGCGCGGATTACGCTAAAGGTTGTCACAATATTAAATTTGCGTACACCATTGAGCTTCAGAAGTACGGTAAGTCGGGCTTCACACCTAACCCGAAGCGGATCGTGGAAATTGGTTACGAAACCACGTTCGGTATATTGGCCATGGTCAAGTTCGTTTATAAATATTACAAAGATAAGGAGCGATACGAGAAGCAGAAGGTGTGCAAGTGCTGGAGCTCAAATTCTTTCTATTCTCTGTGACGGTTCTTCCATTTGTATACAACAGCATAGAAAAAATAAAATTGTGATTGTCTTTCTAAATTATTGACTTACCTAATGGGACGGTGATGGCCAGTAAACTGAAAATACCGCTTACGACCATCGTTCCGCAAGCCAACCATCTGCGACCCCATCTGTCCAAGACGATTGTTAAGAATGTATCGGCCGGGAATTCGGTGAAAGATGCAACGGAGAAGGTTACAAAGATATCCAGACCCAAAGATCCTACGTTCCTGACGTGACCATCGAATACCAATGAGATTGCCATCCAGATCAGAATCAGGAGGATGGTAATCTTACGGAGCCTCGGGGTTTTGAACAGATCCAGAACGGAATAGGATTTATCAGCGTCTTCTTTTTCAGCCTTCAAGCAGCTAGCCTATTTACGTAAAGCAATTGATTAGTTAATCCACATATTTCTTTGTACATACAAAATTATGTGTTTATTACCGTGAATTCATTGTACAGTTTCTCGTCGACATTTTTCTTGTTAATTCTTTCAAACTTTTTCAGGATGGAAACGGCCTTCTCCACTTTTCCTTGAGAGGCCAACCATCTGGCGGATTCTGGTACGATCCATGGAGTTAGGAGGCAAATGAACAATGGAGCAGAAGTGGTGATGCTGAGCATCCTCCAGTCTGCCACCCAAAGCGCAATCCAAGGAAGGATAGTTGAAGCGAACGTGAAGAAGATAGCGATGGACATGTTCGCAACGAAAGTTCTCCATTTAGGTCCAACATATTCCAAAACTGTAAGTATAAAAAAAATCAGATTATTTAAAAGTAATTTTCGGCGGATATGTCAAAATATATGGTAATTTATAACCAAAATGTTAGCTAAATAAATAAACACAGTTCTAACCGGGTTTTATATTTTTTTATTTATATTAGTAAAAATGTCAAGCTTATATATAAATTTTAACATATAGTTATTTAACAGCAATTGAAAATATTAACAACATTAAAGAGGATTAGTTCATCAAGGAAGTAAAACAGTTGAAATTAACATTATACACGAGCAAGGATTTTTTTCCCTACAAGATTCATCCTTCATAGAGGAAATTCAAAGAATGTAAGTAGCTGTTAATCTTGCACCAGTTTTATATAAATCGCAAATAATTGCGTGTGCGTGCGATGAATAAAAATACAATAAAATGGAAATGAGGAAAGATCTTTCTTATCTCGTCAATTGTAAACAAAAGCGGGAAAAACCTTGCCGTTAACATAAGTCCACTGACAGTCTAAATGGATCGAAATAATAATTTAATTAATTGCATTATTATCATAAGTAAATTGTATGCACGAAGGTAATAGAAAATTTACCATAAACAAAATCAAATACTTTATTTTATCATGATCATCGTTACACAATTATTTCTTCCAATCTTTTTTTATCAAAAGCGTTTTATTGAATTCATTAACGTCCTTTTTTCCCTCAATTGGAATGTAAATTTTATGCCAAGGTGAGTAAAAAATCTGAGGAAAGAAACCATTTTCCTCTCTTTCGGATTATATAAGATTGGGATGCCGTTTCAATGGCAACGATCAATGCCGCGTAATTGACGTTGAAATGCCAAGCAGCACGCGCTCTGCTGCTATGTTATGCGTTTTTGACGAATTGAAATTTCAATTTTCCGTATGCATAATGCGTTTAATAAACGGATACGTTTTATCTTGCATAATTGCGGATAAGCAATGTCGTTCTTAGTCCGGGATCGAATTAATAACATGCGCTACGATTCAAAATCAATATAATTAAGTGCATATAAATTGAATGGACGGCGTTACGTTAATAAATCGTTGCCGATTTTTATTCCTGCCCGGATAATGGAACGGAATTACAGATTATGCGAATTTTATTTTAGTCGATTCAAGGCGACTTGCTGCACGTATTAATAATACATAAATCATTTCATAGTTTGCTTTTTTTGTGTTTGTTAGTGCGAAATCGATTTCTATCGTTATTTGCTAATTCCGATTTATTTAACAGCAAATCGGACAAAAGTAATTTATTATTGCACCAATTTATTTTCAATTGCAATGCGAGGTAATGCAAATCGTAGTTCATAAATTATGCCTTAAAAAGAAATAATATAATCGCTTCCTTTTTTAATTTAATTTATTTAAATTTATTTTATCGATGAATTATTAATCATTCTTTTATTAACTTTTTCAGTCCATATCTGGACAATCGATTTAGAAAAAAAAACTATTAGTGTGATTGATTGCATTTGATTTATGTTCATTAACATTTGCAGTTTAACATAAATTATCTTAATTGATTAATTTAATTCATTTATTACAAATGATTATTTTTCTAGTAATAGTATCTGTATGTGTTATACTCATCCACACTATGCGTGACTACTCTGGATTGTCAAGGTGATCCATGACATTGACAACTACAAATGAACAGTTAAATTAGTAGTTGGTATGTCTTATGTACGTCAATTATGAAGTTCTTCAATATTATGAATAAATTGAAATATTTTTACTATCTTTTAATTATTTTTTAAGACATTATAACTAATAACAACAATAATTAATTAAAAATAAGATCACTTATGTATGTTAAAAGAGGCATAAAATATTTCGTAATAATACAAATAAATTGCGGTATTCACTATTTCATTATTTTCTACAACCAAAGTTGAAAGAAAGAGCGAGATTATGAGAAATCTGCTTTGTGAGCAACCAAGGTTCGAGTTTCCTTAAACTTCATACATAAAAATTACTAATTGTTACAGGTGTATTTCTAAACACGTAGAGATCTTGAAAAGTAGTTTCTTTTCTATGTACTCAAACGAAAATTTGTAATTAAATTCTGTTCTTTCTGGATGAAGGAAACGTAATATGAAATCCGTGTCGTGTTTATTTTATGATTCCATATGTTTGTTGCTTTTGCATAATTGTTGTCTCCGTATAATAAATTGCATATTACCTAGTAATTACGTACCGAGTGTAATAGTCTGAATACAATTTCCATCATTTTTTCGTGCGTGTGCGCGAGTACATGTAACTTTTGCACAAAACAGTTACTTTTCAATGATACACGCCGTGACCTTAACTCGTGAATGATCCTTGGATATCATTATACAAATTCATTCCGTTTTGCAATTAATACGAACAGAACAATTAAGAAATATTAGAAAAAAACGAAAAGTAATTGTAGTAAAACTTCAAAATATGCAAGTAAAAAGAAATAGGAATGCAAAAATGTTCAAAGTTAACGACGTTTTAATTACTTTTCGTTATTATGCTATTATTAATTGGATATTATTGTAAATTTTATCTGCACCTGCGTTTTCTCACATTCATTAAAGCCATTCTATTCACTTTGTGCAGATCCTATTTGTGTTTCGCTAATTAGATTTGCAGCTAAACCAGATTTCCGATTGTTGCGTTTATCTTCGTGGAGAAAGTTTTTTTTTTAGCAAGGTCAGTTTATTATCTGAGGCAAATTGATGTTTTTAAATTGATTTATTCATTTCTTACCTAAGATGTACATCATCGTGAAGCAGTTGTCGAAGGCCATACCAACAAGGAAACGGCATACGCAGAAGGACCAGAAGGAATTGCAGTAGGCTGTAGCGATTCCGGCTGTTGCTCCTATAAGATTTGTTCCAACCAAAGCTGGGATTCTGCCGTGTCTATCGGCCACCCAGCCGAAGACGAGGCCTCCTAGGATAGCGCCGCAAAAGAAGATGGCTTGTGCCAATGTAGGCAGACCGTCTTGCTCGCAGACCCAATCCAACTATTGCAATAATAACGAAGAGTTATTAGAATGGTTACATAATATTTACAAGATAGATGCTTACTTCTGAGGCGATCGTCTTGTATGGGATGTCCGTGTAGTTGTATTCCCAGCCGTTGCGACATGCAACCGTCGGCCAAGATGGATCTGGCTTTACCACTCCTTGCTGCAGGATCTCCGTGTAGTTCACAGCGTACATCCGACATTTCTCACCTTTAGGAATGGCCAGGTTTAATCTGAAAATTACAAAATACTTAATCAATCGAACCTACAACAATGGTATTTACTTTCTTGTTAAATGATGTATCTCCTATTGTTAAGTTTCCTTATAAATTATTTACTACTGTTTATACTTTGAGTTCTTTATTGAATTATTCTATAAACTTTTACGTATATTTGCAACATCTTGCAAGTAACATTTTTTTAAATTTATAATAAATATTTCAAATAACTGACTACTTTAAAATCTCTATAAAAGGATTAAAAATATTATTACTATTGAGATCTTCTAAAGTTGTTTTAATTGGATATCGCCAAGTATATATGTTATGCCTCATAAGGCAATTTTCCATTTATATAACTTGGTTCAAATCTTTGTATAAAATGCACATTCCATACAACTCCATTCTTACAGGATTGTTTTAATTAATTATTTTTTATGTATCTGTAAAGAAATCTCACTTAATTTCCTTTTTGTATTTTTCTTACTATTATCAATAATTGTCGCAATGATGTGTTACTATTATTAGGTGATACATTACTTTTAAGTTATAATATTTTTTACAATATCTTAATATAATTGGAAACAATTATTACTGTAACAAAACGAATGAAAATTATAAACTTTAATTAACTTGAAGAAATGTATCAATTGGGTAAAATCAAGTAAGTAATTAGAAATATTCGAACATTTTACATATACAAATTAAAGTTAACTGAGATTTAAAACTTACAGTTTATGTATGAAAGTTTTGTTTTTAGATCGTAAAATAAGTAAATAAACTATTCGTAAAAAATAATTGTATGTTACATTATAATATATTGTACATTCATTAAGTTCTACTTTTACAAGTATTAGTTTTATTATTATATCATGGTTTATTAGTCAACTTCAAATGATTGAAGTATCGTTTCTTCAATTTATTTGATTTTATATGTATTTAATAGATTGATTATTTACTAATTATATAATAATATCCAAAAGTTTGTTTTAAACTAATTCCATGATTCTGATAGTTTTTTAATATATACAATAGGTTGGATTAAAAGAAATGATTATTTCCTGTTCTTCGTTAGCAATTGCAATGAAATAAATATAAATGAATTGTAGTAAACTAATGTTCTAGTAATACTAAATTATTACTACTATTTGGATCATATTAAGACAAATTATTCTTCGATTTAAAAAATGCTGATTTTATTGTGTTTAATACATTTTTTTTACTATCTTCAGATGGTGATGAGAAGAATCGTTTACCTGGACTAATCTGTTTATTGAATGTTATTAAAGAGTCGTTTCGCCAACGCTGATTTATCTCGTACGTAATGAGCGCAAAGTAATTGGGATCTGTTTCTTCGGTATAAGCAATGTATGCTGACAGCATTAGAACGAGTCGCGATTTATGCGTTCGGCCCTGCAGCGAAATATCTTATACCCAGTGACAAAGTGAATTACAAACACTTGTTTCTTCCAATAACTGTAATTGCTTGCAAACTGGGATCCATTCCCTGCCTCATGATCCGTTTACTTGCGTGTGGGTGCAGTTCATAATCAGAGCCCAACATAATAACGTTGATTAATTAACACTGCGCTCTTGTCCTCTGGCCAGGCGAAGGAATTGCTACAAAAAAAAATATGCAACGGCGGAATATGAAAAGTGCCCCGATTGTAAAAATACTAAATACACGACCACGTTATGCTCTAATTGTGGATTAAATTTATTCACGTTGCGCAGCTCCACACATCCTTTTATATTCCATTATGTTGCGACTGTTTTCTTACTCATTGAATGTTTTAATGTTATACAGACAGAAACCAAAGAAACCCGATACATCATAACTCGCATTAATGAGGCACAATAATCGGATTATTATTATTTTCAGAGACTGCTATTGTTTCTGCTCAGTTAATTAACTTAAGTAAAGCATGATTGAAGTCCCATAACAAATAATTTACATACCGCGACTTCCGGTATTAACAATCAAATTCGTGGTAATCCTTCAGAATAAACAATATTATTTTGTTCGTTGCAAATTACTTGCTGAATCATGAATGATTACCTGTATGAAATTATTACGATGTTAACTGCGATTTAAACAGTTTTGTTTGTAATTTTGCGAATGTTAATTTAAGAAATTACGATGTTTCCAATTCCGTATATAACCGGTCATTGCAATTTTATGGTGTTTATAATTTCACATATAAATAAACTTAAAATTATCCGACAACACATCACCTCGAATATAGTTCAGTTAATCATTTTTAATAGCTTGTTTTTCTTAAAGTCATTCGAATAATGTAAATACATTTTATTCTCATTTATACTCTTATAAAGTATTATAATAGTTATAAAAAGATATTAGGAATTAATATCAATAATGTGAAGCCATAGGAAATAACTGGTTTTTACGTCCATATATAAATTATTTAACAATAAATATAAAATTATACAATGACATTAAAATTAAGTATAAAATGCATTCCATGGTAACATTTTTCTTTCAATGTATCTATAATTGCTTTAATAGTGTTAAAACAGAATGTATAAATAAGCAATCTTCGAATAAGATCGTACTTAAGTTACACGGAGACTCGAATGAAACGGTACTTTAATTACACGGTTTCTTTAAAATATATTTTCTCACAATGTTAATATCATTACTTTTCGCGGTTTAACAAAATAGTGTACAGATTTAAACGTATTTTGTGTAAAATAAAATAACACGGTCTTGAATTGCACGGTTAACCGTGTTATTGAAATAATCTTATGCAAACGTATAAACAGAAAATTAGATAAATTATATTGAGAGTAGAAATAAAAGACTAAGACTAAATCTAATTTTAATTAATATATTTATAATATATATTTCAACAAATTACCATAACAAAAACTCAACAAAATAGCATAATAAGAAAAATAAAACAAATTGATTTGAATTATTTTTTGTCAATATTGAAAATAAGATATTTCTTATATTTTTTTTAGTCAAGAAGTATTTATTAGAGAATCGCAAATAGAATTAAATGCACATCTGCTGTGCATATTAAACCTCAATATATGTGCTTTCAAGATTTTTCTTTTTCTATGAGAATTATGTATGCAATGAGTGTAAGAAAATAAAGAAGTAAAGTAACATTTTCTTAAGAAGGCAACTATAAATATTTATATATTTCTATGTATAGTACATTACCTAAACACAATTCGCTTACAACACGAAGAGATTTATAGAGTTCACATGTTTTTTTTTAATGTAATCCCATCCATGCTGACAAAGCAATGAATATTGCGAATCTATTAATCTTTAGATTAAAATAAAGAGGGACGAAATTAATATGCAGTATCGTCCGCCTTTAGAGAGGACAGTCCTCCTTTTGCAGGTTCTATTCTTCCTCGAAAAGTGTCCTCCATTTCGATATTTTACTGATGATATTAAAATCGATGACAATCGATGTTTGTTTGAAGAAATTAGAGGACTTAATGTATATTTAAATTCTGATAAATTAAAACAATGAGAAATATTTAACCATTTTAAAAATGAACTCATTTCATATGAAAATGTATGCTGCCGTGGAACTAAAACAGCAGTTGAAAGAGTTTTTTAATCGGTAACGTTTTTTGGACAAGTGAGAAATCAAGATTGAATGTTGATACTGTAGCTGCAGCACTTACCGTAAAATTCAATATAAAGGATATTTCTTGCTCCAAAATTTCTTTTCAATGTATTGTTAGAAAATGATATATTGACAAAAATTGATTCAATGAAAAAAATACTGATTTAATTAAATAATTTACATTGTACTTTTTTCTTAAATTTTTTCGTCTTCTTTTTCATTGTAAAAAAATGGTCACTTTAGTTATAGTATATAAACCATATTGATTCCTAAACTTGAAGCGTACCAATTAATTATATTTTTATCTTTTCAATGTTAGAATTAAACAAAAATACTTTGTGCTTCTTTGTCTTTAAATAATAATGTCATTCTACAATGTCGCCGGATTCTAGTTCTTGGCTGAATTTCACAATTTCAGTTATATATTATGCATTTATATCGGTTCGCGATTTTATTTCGCAGAGTGGCTAAACTGGGCCAAGACTTTTTCCAGAGGCGGCTCCGAGGAGAGAGAAAAAAGGCAAGAACTTCAAACCGCTTACATAGAAATAAGTAAGTAAACGCGCACACATTCGCATACATATTTTTTTTTCTATCTCGCGTTTTACGATAATTACAATTATTACTATGGATGGAAATTGGTCTTAATGTTACCGTAACCTTTATTTTTGAGCTGTTGTTTGCGGTTGTCTCTAATTGGTTTTTAAATAACTTATTATAGCTGAAGGTTCTATCTAATATTATGTCTTATTTTCGGATATTTGGATCAATCAAAAATACCCCGTAGCTTCAATTTACGGAAGTATTATTGATCGAATTTAATTGTCTGCTATATAAAGTCGCCGCGCTGAAATATTAATTGAGTAGAAGAGACGAAGCGAAAATATCCTTGCTCGGAAATAGATATTCTGTGATGCAAAGGATCGATATTTATTTAGCTATTTTCAAATCCACACATAGTTTCCATAAGTCAGCATTCGCTATAGTCCAAGTGTAAAAATATCTAAACAAACTAAATTATAATTGAGTAAAACAAATTTACAAAAATATAGTAGAAATTATATTTTTTATACATAAATATCTATTTTTTCCATTTATATAGTTAAGTCTCTTTTTGTACGGTTTATTTCCATTTTATTTACATCCTCGATTAGTCCGGTTTTTGGCGGAACGGATATCAAGAGAGTAAAACCTATTTTGAAGTGGAATGGAATTTCCTATTACAAGAAAATAATTTTCACATTAATGAAGTTTTTAATTGAAATCAAGTGCGCGTAATTGATTTAAATCCATTAGTTCGTCGCTATTATAATCAAAACTTGTATACATACATTATGATTATAACAAATGCAAATTTATACAATCTTCTCAGAATCATAATTTTGATCGAAGAAGCGAACAATC